GTGACGGCTCCCTTCCCACATCCTCCGTTTCCTGTGTCCATTCCACCTTCTCTCCTATCCCTTCCTGTTGTCTGAGTTTTATCCCCGGGTGAATGCTGCCCTTTAAGTCTCATACTGTTGATTGTTGGAATGAGTGTGAACCTTCCTGGTGTTAGTTACCTTATAGGTCTGTGTATCATTTGGCTGGTTTTCAGTGGCCAGTTTTTTCAGAAGTGGATGGCCCTGTCTTTCTTCCCAGTCTGTCTTAGTCTGGAAGCTCCATTGAAACCTGTCCATCATGGCTGACCCTGCTTGTACTTGAAATACCAGGGGCATAGCTGCCAGCCTCACAGCACCATGCAAGCAACAGTGTTTGAGAAACTGACAGAGGAGTCAAGAAATTCTGAAGACTGCTGCCTGGTGAATTGACTGGCAAAGATTTCTATTTGTGCCCGTTGCAAAGAAAGGTGATCTGACAGAATGTGTAGATTACCCAACAATATCATTGACACCACGCGCAAGTAAAATTTTGCTGAAGATAATTCAAAAATGATTGCAGCAGCATATTGACAGGGCACTTCCAGAAATACAAGCTGGATTCAGAAGAGGACGTGGAAAGAGGGATACAAATGAATGCGGAAAACAAAAGAATGTATTGAGTCTCCATATCCAAGGAGACAGAATCACTCCTCTAAGTCTGCCCCCCAAGCAAAGGGGTCAAGGTGATTACAGAGGGGGGGTGGGCAGGGCTGACAACCTCTCGGGCCATCAGGAATGTCTTTGCTCTTCTTCACTGAGGCTACTCCGGTCTCGGAGTCCCATCTCCCAGGGCCATCTTGGCTCATAAACCATGGTCCTCAGCTCAAACCAGCCATGGGACAAGGTCATGCTTGAACATATAATGGAAAAATAACAAACCTAAAGAAATCAGCATCCGTGAAGAGGTTAGCTACGCAATTCGCGTAAAAGAAAAGAGAAAGGGAGGGAAGAATCGTCAGGCCGTTGACAGGATTGACGTCTGCTTTGGTCATGGCGGCCATTTTGCGAAGTTCTGCACTTTCCGGCCAGGGGCCCCTCGGCCTTGCACAGCTGCCGACGGCTGAGTGTGATTGTGGGGAGGCTTTGAGTACTTTTACTTTCCTTCCTTGATCTAAATATGAGGTGCTTTTACTTTTGTGAGCAAAAAGGATTTCAGACTAGCTCCGTTCATAAGGATTAATTTTGATGCCAAATATTTGGTTTCAAAAGTTTCAATTCTAGAACAAAAAATAAAAACAAACAAAAAAAGACCAGACTGATAGAGACTGGCGGAACCCCTGAGACTATAGCCCTTGCAAAAGACAGGCCGACAAGGCGAACGGTAACACCTGGGAGGTCCCACTCCTTGAACAACCAACCCATGAGATCAAAGGCAGCATCTGCCCAGGCAGAAAGCTCAGGAGGCAGGAAGGGCTGGAAAAGAGGGAGGAACAGAAACAGGAAACGCAGGGAGGCAGTGGGAAGAGAGCTGGTGCATTGTGGGGACTAGAAGCAATGTCACAGAACAAAACAGGTATGAATGGTTGAATGGAAACCAATCTGCCCTGTAACTTTCCCAAAATCCCAATGAGAAGTTTTTGTTTTGTTTTTAAAAGAAAGGTAGTGTGTGAACTGGGCTGGGCCATGACTCTCAGTGACTTAGCAGTTATAATGGAGTCATGCCCCATAATAAGATCCAATAAACACAGCCAATCAGTTGAAGGGAGTTTCCCTGGGGGCGTGGCCTGCTTCCAATACATAAGGACGTTCTGCCAAAGCTCGGGCGCTTGGCTCCCTC